GCAGTCCATCCTCCCCTCCTTTAATTTACGGCTGATTAATAATAACACACACATAGCAGTATCCACTATCAGTGCCAGTTGACTGAGGCCCCCAGTCTATTCTGTCCTAATAGATGTTGCGGGATTTGAGACTACATTATCATGCTTGGGATTACCCCCCCCAAGTTGCTTATCATTTTATGCAGGTTAACTGGCTCAGCCTGTAAACATGAGCGTCCCCATGGTTACAGTATCACCCCCCTCCCCAAAACAAGGCCCCACTTTATGTTGCACAGCCTTGAATCCTCCCTTCTGAAGTGGCCTCCTTTCCCGCCGTTTCTTTGTCCCGATTTCCCGCTCGTCAGTCGCGTTCGTTGTGAACACGTCCTCTGCACTGGGGAACAGGGTCAGGGCCGGGTCGCCCGCTGCCATTGGCTCACATTTGCCACTGTGCTTTCTAATCAGGCGGTCTAATTAGCACCGCTTTACTGCTAAATGCCCATGGTATTTCAGGGACTTTACATCTCCGTCATGTGACGCCACCCATCCGGAATGGGTTGGGCTCTAATTGCACATGTCATGCTTGGAGGTTCGAGATGCGGAGCCTGAATTAGGCGCGAAGCCCCGCATCCCTTCCCTCATTTCCCGTAACCTGTAAATGGCATGATTGCGTTTCCGCGCCTAACGAGGGGATCGCTAACGCGCTAAACGCTGGATCACGTGTCTCCGACGCGAGTCGCGTTTCAGGCTGCAATGCGCTGTGACTCGCGGCGTTTTCACGGGCACGTGTTGCTGAAGTGGCCGTTCTCTGGCTAATGACCTGTACTCAGTCATTAGCGGGACCGTGCGTCTGACAGGTTAATTATGCTCGATTAACATTAGCGAGCTGCTTTTGTCCGATCAGTCACCTATGCACCATGTGTCCCGTACAACTAAAAAACTCAATTCAGCCTAAAATTTTACCCCATGACCATTGTGGGGGAGGGGGGGAGACGACAAAACCCCACACTGTACCGCGTCCATTTTCAGCCCTACATGCCCACCTCCCTCCCACCATGGCTTCCATGGAAACCACGGCCCGCCTTAAAAACGGTCTCCCCCCCACAGACCCCCCAATCGTGGAGCCGGCGTACCAGGAAGTACGTTCGCCCACCAATCAGCCGGTGACGCTGCGCTGCTCGGTGGTGAAGGCCAACCCGAGCCGCATCGCCCGCGCCTCCTGGCTGATGAACGGCAGGCCGCTGCCGCCGACTGTGCCCGACTCGCAGGAGCCGCCCACGCTCCGCATCGAGCGCCTCAGCCCGTCCAGCAACGGCACCTACGAATGCCGGGTCAGCAACGGCGCCGGCGTCTCCTCCTGCGTCTTCAACGTGTCCGGTCAGTGTCCGCGCCCTGTGACCCCGCCTTCTATCGTTTCTATGACGACGGGGCCCCACCCCTCATGATTACCGTCATACGCTCAGCGAGCAGTCAGTCGCACTATGCCGTGAAAACCTTACCGGAAGCGCAAGCGCAATAAGTACAGATCTGCACTGTAAAAATGTGGCATTATAGACAAAACGCAAAGATGGTGAGTATTGCACAGGAGCAGATGAGTAAGCGGTGGATAACGGGCCAGTGCTCTGTGCTGGTTGCCATAGCGGCATTTATGGTCACTGCTCCACACTGCGCGATCGATTAGCGCCTGACGATCGGCGACTGCGCCAAGGAGCTTGGTCTCCCTTCGTGACGGAGGACGGGGATTGTGCGAAGTAGGGCAGCAGGTAGAAATCTGCCAGCTCGGGAACTGTCACCTGGAAAGCTGCCGGCAGTAACCCAGATCCGGGGAAGGGCCCGGCTGTTGTACTGCTCAGGAATAACGGCGGATTTCTGGGGGATGTGACAGATCCTGTATAACGTGGCTTTCTGTGTGACAAGCAGATGGGCTGCAGTCATTATAAGCGTGACGGTAATGAGAGTCGGGGGGCAGCGACCTGCGGCGAGGGGCCTCTGTGGGCTGCACGCCACCGCTCAGGGCGCCACGCTCCTTTGCAGCAATGCGACATGCAGTGCCTCTATCTGGCGGATGCTTAACAGAGCATATTGGGCTAAGCACAAGGACTGGATTTGAACATCAGCTTCCTAATTAAACAGCCTGGCACCTTAAACATCACATCCCCTACAGGCGGTTCCAAGAATTTCAACTTGGTGAAAGAAAGTTTTTCTGAGTATACTGCGCGCAATATAATAAGGCTGGCATTAATATGCATAGCAGGCATTGAGTTTGGAGGGGCTTGTGCGTTCCGCATGCGGCCCGCTCATTTTCTTAAGGGATGCATAGTTAGGTCACAGCTAATAGTTTTTCTTTTGGCTCATGTTATGCAAATATGCTCTGTCGTGTTTGCAGCCTCTGTATATTGTGTGTAAATGCATGCAAACAAACTCCGGCTATCTGCAGGCTATAGCACGTCCGCGGCTCGATGGATAGATCCTCAGCAGGTACGTCAGGATGATAGCAGTCAAAACAGACATATAGAAATATAAACATATGCACCTTGATTGCTCCCCTTCAATGAATCCCCCTCCCCCCCCAACAGCGAGGGCGTACAACCCGGAATTCTACTTCGACACGCCTAACCCCATCCGCGTCCTGCCGGGAAGCAACTACTCCTACATCCTGCAGTGGACCCAGAAGGAGCCTCGCGCTGTGGATCGCATCCTCGGCTACTGGATCAACGTGCGGCAGGTGGGGGGGGCGCTCTCTTTGCGGGCCGCGGCCTCGTTCGGCATTAATATGCAGAGGATGCCCGGGGTGCAGCGGGTTGCACGGGGGATCAAGGTAATAAGCTGCCCCCCCCCCCCAGGGGCCTGAGGGGGCGTCCTCACGTGTGTAAATACACACACACACACACACACGCACGCATGCACACGCGCGTCGTCTGTTCACACTGACGAAACCCGTTATAATAAACAAGCCGCCATCTCAAAATCGGAGCCAGGGCTGAGGCAGCGGCTTTTTGGGGCCGACAGTCCATCGATTGGCGCCTGTATTGAATTAACAAGGTCCGCCTGACAGCCCAGACCTGCGCCTGCCCCCCCCCCCAGCATCCCGCGGTAACTGATTATGGAGGATGAGCTGCTCTTTTTTACCATATAACTAAACTTGATGCAACATGTTCTCACACACATCCTCACACGCACATCCTCGCACTCACATTCTCGCACTCACATCCTTGCACTCACATCCTCGCACTCACATCCTCGCACTCACATCCTCACACTTGTCCTCTCACACTTGTCCTCACACTTGTCCTCTCACTCATCCTCACACACAGTCCTCACTCACATCCACACATTTGTCCTCTCACACACACCCTCATAGACACACTCACATCCTCACACGTCTTCACATTCATCTTCACAATTGTCCTCACACGTATCTTCACACACATCCTCATACACAGATCCTCCCACTCACCCTCACGCTTGTCCTCTCACACACTCACACCATTAAAAGATGCGCATCCAAGCCATTTTATTTCCCTTATATTGCATTAAAAATGCATTTTAATATCTTACGTTAGGTGTTATGTGTCATGGTGCATCTCTATAATGTAATACTCAGCGTTGATGACTCCAGCAATCCCATCCAAATGGTCATGATGCTCTATGTGTCTTCCAGCATTGTTTGGCCAGGGGGCGGCAGTGATACAGGGCGAATGCAGTCATCGCCCGTTCAGCCGCGGTGCTGCGAATGGCACGCCCGGCGCCGTTTAAGCGGAGAGGGCGGGATTAGCGCCGCTTCCTTTGTGCGCCGCTAAACAGCTAATCTCCTCCTCCTTAGAAATGTACACTAAGTAGCTCTCCTCAGGGACTCAGCGGTGAGCAGGCCGGCAGCGCATGCAAATCCCTCCTTTATGTGCGTGTGTCTGCGTGTGTGCAGATCAGGCACGGGTGGGGGGGGTTCATGGCACGGCATCGTGTCTGGGCCAGGCCGACAGCGTAAAAAAAAAGGCCGCGACTGTCATGCACTCCTCTTTCATGAGGCCCGGCAAGTCCAGCAGGACACATTCCAATGTCCACACACCTGCCCCCACCCCCCGGCCTCACTATACAACAGGGTCTCTTGGCTTAAAGCCATGCTTCACATGTGTGTGTCTGGCTGATGCCACACTCTCTGGCTTTTACTCTATGGAATATTCTGGATTTCAGCATTTTCACACTGAAGGGACTCTGTAGGGATGGTATGTGAAGTGAGCCCCTGAGTTCATTACCGTAAAGCCATGAGGGTGACAGATTTACACTTCTGTGTTTAGTCAGGGCCCTGGGGGGTGGACTCAACGTGTCACCCATGCAATTATACACTCACACGATTATACACTCAGCTCACACTCTGAGAGTGCGAAACATAAATACAAACCAGTGACTTAGACACATTGTGTGACCATAGTGTTTATGGACATGCAGAAATACACAGATACATGAAATGCAGTGTGTCCCAGGGAAATGCAGTGTGTCCCAGGGAAATGCAGTGTGTCCCAGGGAAATGCAGTGTGTCCCACCCACGCACACATTCCTGCACATACAGACACACAGAGCTGCCTATAAATTCATGCAGTAAATGTCAGGTTTCACGCTACTGTCTGAACCCCCCCGACAGAGATGCCAGTCAGTAAGGGAGCCATTATCAGACTCTGCCACTCTGGGCCACTCGAGCCCGGGCTGGGCTCAGGTTCGAGCCAGACAAAAGGCACAAACCGCGGAGACAGACCGAGCAGCCGACGGTGACACATCACTGCAGTAAGATGACATTTTGAAGAGGCCCTACGGCAACTCGCCTTGACACACGTGAGGATGACTATCAAACGAGCCGTAAGGGGCGACACCCGGGCGTGCCATCTCGGGTGTAAACACGGCGCCACCACACCGCGCTCTGACGACACGGGTAGATGAGGGCGGCCTCGGCACCCAGCCGTGCGGCGTGATGGTCTTTCTGGGGGTGGCGGACGGCGCGGCGCTATCTATAAACCCTGACCCGGGCCGCCCCGCGCCTCCGGCGACGCCCTTGGCGTGTCTGCAGTAAGGAGCGCGCTCCCTGTTTACCGCCACCATTCCCTGCTGCATTCACCCCCTCCACTGTGGCCCTGCTGTGACGGCGTCCCCCGTCTGTACCTCCCTGCAGATGAACAGGGTGGCGATGTCGCGGCAGATGGAGGTGAAGGAGCCTCAGCCAGGGGTGCTGCTGTCCTATGTGCTGACGGACCTGCGCATTCCCCTTGACTACGAGGTGCGCCTCACGCCCATCACCATGTTCGGCCTGGGGGACTCAGCCACGCGCACCATCCAGTACTCTGAGCGTGAGTGCCCCGCCCCGCCCCGCCCCGCCCCCATCAGGCCACGCCTCCATCTCCTCACGTCCACCAAAACATCAGCCACTAGCCTCTTTTCTGTCCCATATAGAGCTCTCACAGACGGTAGCCATCTTGTGTCTGCTTTGAAATTCGTAAAATACCGATCGATTCTGAGAGGTGATGCCCCAGAGCTGGACCCACCTGGCTGATCATTAATAAACGGAGAGCCGGTAACCCCACCCAGCATGGTCCTGTGTGTTCCCCTTCTGTTTGCCAAATTACCCATAATCCATTGTAAACCTGCCTATGCCAGCTCACATGGCCACGCCTCCCTCACACTGCTGTCCCGATGAGCCACTAATGGCCCTGCATGGACCGGGACTGTGGCGAGTGGGTGCAGCCATCCGTCATGGGGATACAGTCATCCGCGGTTGTTGATGTTTTGTCTCGAGTGTGAAAACACGTGTGTTGGATGCTGGGAAGCGGCTCGCCGTGGGGGCGTCTGTCTGACACACGCGGCCTGAACCATTTTCACTTTCGCGTGTGACAAATGTGCTGCTCCTAATTGCATTCTTTTTTTGTATCTTAATTTTTTGTAGCTTTCACTTACTTTAGACCATCAGGTGAGTAAATCTCTCTCTCGCTCTCTCTCTCTCTCGCTCTCTCTCTCTCCTTTCCTCTCATTCCATACCTCCCAAACCGCCAGTGCAGTGTGAGTTTATTTTCATCTGCTTGGCATCGAGACTAAGCAGCCCTGCCAATTCTGTCAAATTAAAGTGGCGTCAATTCGGGCGTTACGCTGTGCAAATTGACGGGGGGCTGTAAAACGATGTGGCGGGGGGGGGGGGGGTGTTACGGCGAGCAAGCCACACGCCGGTACGGGAAACCACCCCCGAACCTCAGTCGATAAGTACGTCAATAGCCCCCCTGTCAGGTCACCCACCCGCAGCCAGTTAAATGTGTCAATCACCCACCAGCCTTTTGATAGTAAACACTTTCCAAAGTATGTAATGGTGAATAATGGAGACCTTCTATGGAGGTTTAGAAACAGATCGATTTTGGGCTCTTCCAGCTTCACAGACACGAGTGCTCCTCTTCCACTGGCATTTGATCTAAACCACCTTCCATCTTTCCATTGTTCTCCTCCCCCCCCCTTTTTCTTTATCTCCTTGTTTTATTTGACTCCCATCTGCACCTCCCACGGCAGATCACGTCTGCGGCTTCGAGGATAGCAGGATATGCGGTTTCTCCCAGGACCGGAGCGACACGTTCGACTGGACCCGACAGAACGCCCTGACCCAGAATCCCAAGCGCACGGCCAACACTGGGCCAGACACAGACAGGAGCGGCACCAAGGAAGGCACGGAAAGCGCCCTCCCCCCCTCCCCATTTCCAAATTCCCAGCATGCCAACTCCTCCCCCTGCACCCACCAAGTGCCTTGCATGTCATTAGCATGGTTAAGCAGTAGACCTGGATACATCTGTAAGCGAAATTAAAATGGCCTCATTTTATTTTGAAAACTTAATGCAAATAAGGAATTCAATTCAAAGAGCGACACTTAAAAATCCATATTTTCCAGAAAAGTGGCTTGTTGGTTATTAACTAACAACCTCTTATACAAGTTACCTTCTGGGGTGGACTGGCTACAGCAAGTTGTAATGGTCCCCGACTCTTCTCCCTTACTCCCCCCACTCCCCCCCCCCATGTCTCTGCAGGTTACTACATGTATATTGAGGCATCGCGGCCGAGGGTTGCGGGGGACAAAGCTCGCCTGCTGTCCCCCCTCTTCAACGTCACCCAGGCCCGGGGGGCCACAGGCTCCAACCGCGTCCCCTATTGCATCTCCTTCTACTACCACATGAAGGGCATGCACATTGGTGAGTGGCTGACGCAGCTGACCGTCACTGTTTGGCACTGCTATGCCCCGCCCCCAGCTGTCACTGCAATTCTGCAATCATTGTAATGACACCAGGTCCATCCTCTTACTATCAGCTGAACCGTAGACCCAGGGGAACAAGGGCTGGGTACCCCTACATGTAAGCTTTCAGCTGTGATGGTGATTTGTCATGAGAGTCCCCTGTGACCCCACTAGGGGGCTGTCATGAGGCTCCTCGCCTGCTCAGTCTCTATTCTGAGTCAGTGTGACTCCCCCCGTGATATCAGCAGGGCCCCTGATCTGAATCACCTCTTAATTACTTGATTATCTTTACATAATTATGCCAAGAGAGTGGAGACATGTTTTAAATGTTAAATTAAGCTGCATTTTATTGTGGGTGTGTGTGTGTCGTGTTTATTATTTTTCGATCCCGCTGGGCATGAAAATGAGCACGCACCGCATATGAAAATGAGTGTGCATCACACAGGAAAATCAGCGTGCATCGCACACAAAAATGAGTGGGCACCGCACATGGAAATGAGTGCTCATCACACACGAAAATGGACGCACATCGGACATGAAAATGAGCACGCATCGCACACGAAAATGACCACGCATCGCACATGAAAATGAGCATGCATTGCCCGCAAAGATGAGCACACATCACAAATGAAAATGTGCATGCACCGCAGATGAAAATGAGTACATTGCACATGTAAATGAGCACGTATCACACGTGAATATGCGTGTACATTGCACGTGAAAATGAGCAAGTGGGCATTGCACATGAAAGTCAGTGTGCTTGGCACCCGAAATTGAGTGCACATCGCACACGATGAAAATGCGTGCGCATTGCAGGTGAAAATGAGCATGCATCACACGTGAAAATGCGTGTGCATTGCACGTGAAAATGAGCGAGTGGGCATCGCACATGAAAATGACCACGCATCTCACATGGAAATGAATAGTTATTGCACACGAAAATGACCACGCATCGCACATGAAAATGAGAATGCATTGCCCGTAAAGATGAGCACACATCACAAATGAAAATGTGCACGCACCGCAGATGAAAATGAGTACATTGCACATGGAAATGAGCACGCATCACACATGAATTTGCGTGTACATTGCACGTGAAAATGAGCAAGAGGGCATCGCACATGACCGCGAGTGCGCTTGGCACCCGAAATTGAGTGCACATCGCACACAATGAAAATGATTGCGCATCGCACATGAAAGTTAGTGCGCTTAGCACCCGAAATGGAGCGCATATTGCACCTGAAAATGAGCGCACATTGCACATGGAAATGGGCACGCATCGTACATGAAAATGACCACGCATCTCACATGAAAATGAGCATGCATTGCACAGAAAAATGACCACACATCACACACGAAAATGAGCATGCATTGCACCAGAAAATGAATGGTTATCGCACATGAAAATGAGCGTGCATTGCATACGAAGTGCACATCGCACATGAAAATGACTATACATCACAGGTGAATAATGGAGAATAATTGCACCTGAATGAACAGTCATCACACTTGAAAATGAGCGTGCATCGCACACGAAGATAGCGTGCATCGCACACGAAGATGAGCGTGCATCGCACGCGAAGATGAACGCAATGCGTGCGGAAATGAGCACATATCGCACACGAAAATTAACGCACATTGCACAAAACAATGAGCATGCGTCACACACGTAAATGAGTGGGTACTACATACAAAAATGGCCATGGGTTCAAAATCGAAGGCCCAGCCAGGGCGGCATGTGGAGAGTGCCGGAACTTGGGGGGGGGGGGTTATTGGCTGTGGGTGAGTCAGAGGTGGTCATTAAGAGTGTCGAGGTGCCAAAAACGGCGGTTTCTGTTAGGCGGGGGGGGGGCGGTAGTCTCTCTGGCGACCCCATGACCAGCACAGTACATCTGTCCCGACGACATCCTGCCAGCCGGCCCTGTCATCCGTCTCCCCATTCTGCCTGCCTCCTATGCAGTTTACTGGGGTAATCACAGAGCAGTAAACGTCCTTACGCCGCTTTCAGGCTGTTTTGAGGGTCGTAGATGCCCCGCCTCAGCTCGGGGTGCCAACCTGCCCTCCCCCCCACCCCGTTGGCATCCCCAAACCCACTGCAGCTCCCCCCCACGCTCACCGCCTGCCAGGGTATGAGTCCCGTGATTTACGGCACCTTGTGATGCAATCAGTCATTTGTGAGGCGGTTCATCATTGCATTCGCTATCAGACACCTTTATTGAATTAATAGATCTTGCCACGCAGTCTATCCATGTCTACCATGCCACCCCCCTCCCCCCCGGCATGATTTATCACAGTGGATGCTGGTCAGAGGGGTCTCTGCGCCTTTGAAATGCCCCTTCGGTGTCCATGGGGATGGCTCACCTGTGCTTCCTAGCTGGTCAGGATAGCCCATTAGCATGGTCGCTACTCGCTAATGTTCCTCCAAGACCTCCTTGTACAAAACCAGTTCTAGTGAGGACTTAAAAGCCAGATTGGGAGAGATTATTATGTGCTGTCAGCCACTGACTGGTTCAACCTCCGTTTTATGCAGTACTTCAATGGGTCCCATTAGGATTAAAACAAGCACCCCTTGTCTCCCAACATGTGTTAGTTACAACAGTTACCATTTCAGCAGGCAAATGGGATAAACTCGCATTAGTGTTTTCCTGTATGGGGTATTAGCTAGAAGCAGAGGCTGGTTAAGCATTTACCCATTAGCTAGAAGGTGGTAGCAACAGAGGTTTGTCTATAGGCACTGGCTACGGGACAACAGAGTGGTTTTTGCTTAGCGGTCAGCTATCGGTCGGGAGAAGACTTGGTGGGCTGTTAGTTATTAGCCATTAGCCGCTAACCGGAGTTCACCCAGTGAACAGACAATGCAAGGGCTTTCAGCTTAAGGATAACTCATGCCCCAGGCTCCTATTTTAAAGTGAATGTTTTATTAATGCTCCCACTGTTTAGCAGACCCGGCGTTGACATAGATTCTTAATTAGAAATTAAAATTGAAAAGCAGAAGCCATTAATCGAATTCCCGCTGCTCGACGGGGAGACGGTTCTTGATTGCGATCCAAAGAACGAAGGGCAGACCGTGATGGATGAAGATGTTTTTCTCCCTGGTGTCACCAGCATGAGGAGGAGCGTGACGCCTGCGCTGCTCTCTGTAGGGACACCCATCCGCTTTGGGAGGTGTTGGCTCACCTGGAGGCTTCAGGTGCAACTGTGTGCAAACCATACTTCTGTTGCACTCAGGGTGGGGCGTGTTTTTTTTTATTTTTTTGGCTCCAATAGCAACGCAGCATCCCTCGGTTTCTGGAAACCCCCCCATCCTACAGGCTAATATTAGCCAATCAAAACAGTCCGACCTAGAGCTTTGGCCGGTGTCGTGGTGTCCGGCGCAGATGCCATCCTAAATAGAGCCTCAGTCAACCCCGTCCCCCCACCTAGCTGCCAGGATCCATTCATCCCATTAGAAACACAAAGATAGCGCCCCCCCCTCCACCCCCCAGTTCCACAGGAAACACTGAACCACATTTAATGAGCTTCATTTCGAAACAACATTTTGACGCCGTGTCTCAGGGAGCCGACCGCAGGACCCGTGGCGAATCATCACGGCATTTATCCCCATCATTAATCACTCCTGCATGGGGGGAGGGCTAATAGTGTGTCACTGGTGCCCCTCACCCATTCAAAAAAGGTGCTAAAATCTTGGCTGCTTTATAAATAGCCCCTTTCCCATGTTTTCCTGCAATTTGGTGCCAGAGATGTTCCTTTGCTAATCCCCTCTTGAAAGGAGAGAGAAATTAGAGGGGTCTGGAGGGGGGGGACAGAATATGACAGGGGCAGTTGCCAGGAGCTGAAGGGGGGGGGGGGCAATAACCATCGATTTCCTGCGAGGATCCCATAGGGAAACACACCCCCCAGTACCTCTGGAGGGGATGTGACGTCTCCACATGTTCCACTAGCCGTGTGCAAATTTTAGTAGTGAACGGTCTCTGACGAGGGGGTGGGGCAGGACTGCGAGCACATAGAGTGAGACCCGCAGTGCCAGAGAGGTGGGGGGGGTAGAAGGGGTTTTGGGAGGCTGTAGAGGTATGGATGGATGGATGGATAGATGGAGAGAAGGCAGCAAGTGCGGCCATGTTGACAAGCGCAGTGTGTCTGGGAAAGGAGGATGGCGGGTGATGGGGGGGGTGGGGGAAAGATGGCGTGCGGCTCCAGTCCCCTGGATACGAGGGACAAGGACTGTCTGTCCGGCCCTCGTCTGGCCACCCTGGTGCAGCAGGATAAAGGACACAAAGTGGCAGACCGCAAGCGCCATGCCGCCCGGGACGAGTATCCGCTGCGATGCCATCTCGTGTGGCACTTTGGCGTGTGCGTCGGCGTACGTGCCATGGATCGGGGTGTCTTCGCAGCAGCAGATGGTGGTTCCACTGGTCCGAATCCCTGAACCTGATATCACACGCAGCCGTGACGAGTCGGGACAGATTCCGGGGAAACGGATCCGTGGTCCTACTCTCCGGATGCGACCGTCCGCCGCCATTCCAACATAGCATCCCCAAGGCTTCTGGACTTGCCCTGTCTAGCGGGTCGCGGGGTGTGTCGGCCCGGATTCCCTAGCCGAAGGTGGTGCCGCTCGGTTCTGTGCATCGGGGCGGGCTAAAACAATACTGTCACGCCAGCAGCCGCTTAGATGAGTAACTGTTTGGTTTCAGCCTGAATCTGACCTTTACTTGATCTCCTGAGCTGCGACCGGATGTGCGGGCAGAGAAGCGGGTGAGGGGCAGTCTGTCCATTTGGCGCGATGGTGCGTCCCTGGTCCCTCGAGCCCAGGTCCTCAACATAGGACATGGCTAATAGAGCCATCCCCCCACCCCACCCCGCCCCCTGCCCGCGCTGACATTTTTACAGACGCGTTCGCATTACTCGGCTGGATCGATAAATCTTTAAACAGCGCTCCTCTTCTTCTGAAAAAAAATGAGA